TTTGTGTCTGGTAGTTAATATACATTTTCTGTATAAATGAATGGAAAAAAATGAAACAATAAAGTATTTTAGGATTTTCAGCTTATAATCAGGAACACTAATCATAACTATTAGTCAAGAGTCATTTCTTCTATTAGAAGTCTTTAGATAGAGTTTGCATCTGTACTGACAGTGAAAATTGGGGGGAAAGTTCTAATCAGTATGTTTACTTTCTTACAAAATAAAGTTCTTTATTCAGTTTTTGAGTTCTGTGGATGTTTGGATATCAAACAAACAGTAGTTTACTGTACTGTCTTTAGAAATCATAAAGCTTAAGCCAAATTTAAAACATCAGTAGTTCACATTTTTCTGTATTAAATACATACAACACTGAAACATACAGATAAGAATGTAAAGAAATATCATTTTCTTTGGAAATCAGATAGGTTTTTATAAAACAATGCTTTGATGATTTACACGTGTCAGGATTAAATTACCTGCAATGTGTCTATGGGCTAAAAAACTGAAGGGGAAAAATATCTCAAAAAACATGTTTGGAATATTCGTATATCCAGCATATTTGAAAAAATTGTATCCAAAACCAGCAGTTACTTTTGTTGCTTATCTAGTAGGTTTCAAAGTCAGAGTTCCAAAAAGTATCTTAGTGAAATATCCCTTAGTGTTCAGTAGATCATCCTGGCACCAATAATCTGAGTTGAATGATTTATTCAACTCACAAAATACATATCAACACAAGTAATTCCATTTTTATAGCTTTCCTTCTTCATCTTATTCTGTAGTAATCTGGAAAATGTGCTACTAGGAACAAGACTGTATTTTGCACTGTGTAAACTTGTAATACTCCCAACCAAGGGGGCAGGTCTCTGGTCTCTGGTTTTATAAAGGATGCAGCAGAAGTTTGAGTGGCAATCTTCCAAACACATGGTAGATACCTGTACTCTTCATTAGATCTGGCAATGTCCATTTTATGTGGCAATCCAATTCAGCTGAGTCATCTGCTCTACAAAGGACCCTGCCAGTGGGGAGTGGTAATCATGCAAGAATCACCCCTTTCACCAAGAGTTCCCTAGGTCAATTACAGAAGTATCATGACTGGGCATGAAGATACCACCACTGCAGATATATCTGAAAGTCAGTTTAGGTTGAGTCTCATATTGGTGTGTGTGATGGCATGATTATTATCAGAAGTATGTTTAACTCATGGTTTCGCTCATTGGTTCTTAGCATATGACCTCTCATGTGTTCATTCAGCAAGAGGTTCTCTCTTCTATATTTAGCTTATTCCAAATTTATTTTTGCTAAAATATACTTAATATTAATTGACCAAAGCTGTTAAGTAAATTAGTATAAATTTCTCAGATCTGGTTAAATTATTGATTGATCACTGAGTCGCATGTTGCCTAGTGAAATATATTAGTTCCTGCTCAGTTGTGAGGAAAGATCCAGTACATAATTAAAGGAGGTCAAGTTAAATGACTAAATCTGGCCGTGGATTTTTCCAAGTGAGCTTAGGTTTGCTTAATGGGAAAAGGATTTTTTCAAAACTGAGAAAGCTCTAATTGAAACTCGTAAGTGAATCTGTATCACAATAGTGCCAGCAGTAGTCACTGGTATTTTCTCTTTCTAACTGCTAGCCTCATGGATCCTATAAATATTATTTTATTTTCATTCCTCAAAATTAAATGGGAGATTTGGTTCTACTACTCAAACAAAATAACTTTTTTACTGTACACATGGAATAAAAAATAGCTTATTTCTAAATAGGCTTCTTGCCCAAAGAATCACCAAAATAAAATTAAAATGATTTATTTCATAACAGAAAGAACTTTGACTTAAAGCCTCAAATAACTTTTGAAACATAGCTTCCTAGTCAATCAAGATTTTATGTAAAATCACTCTGGGTTCATTTCTTAAAATCACAATAGATCTGCCGGACAAGACAGTTCTACATGTTTTACGGTTCTACATTTCCAAGTTCACAAATTTTAACCAATCTTCTTGGCTTACTTCAGTGTGAAAACATACTTTATTCTACATAAATATTATAAATCAGTGTGCCTTAATCAATACTAACTTACCAGAACACAAAAACATTAATCCAGTGCCTTTCAAACTTGCTTCTTAATCTCTCAAATTTTTATTATACCTATACACAATTTCCATTAACTTATTTTTCTTAATAATAATTCTTATTTTTAGTTGAGTCATCACCCAGCCCTAATATTAAAAGTGTATATTCACTCTAAGATTGAGGAAAAAACCCAACTTTCATATTCCATTCCTCCATTTCCAAAATATCTTGGATTTTCACAGGCCCTAAGCCATATCCTCTTCTCCATTTATTTATCCAGTCACTATAAAGTTGGCTAGCAGAAGCTTTTCCCACACGTATCTAATTTGCCATTAAGTATCCCAAACCTTTGTGTGGGCAAAGTGAGGCTGTTCCCTATCCAGTGCATGCCTTCCTTTATGGCATTTTAATCAAGCTACATTTCTGCTGGATCAAAACAAGGAAAAAGTACTCTTCTTCTCCAGTCCCTATATTTCCTACCTCTGTGGCAAATGAAAACTTCTCTCTGTCATTCTCCAGCATGTGGAACAGATTGTGCCACTGAGAAAAGGGTACAAGGTCCTGGTTACCTTTTATGCTCTCCTCACTGCTTATTTTTTGGCAAAACCTAAGTCTTTGTGCTAGAATGACTTTTACAAATGATGGTCTTTACTTCCACTGGTGTCTTTGAGAAAGAAATGCCAGTGTAAGATTTTCATTCTCCATGCCCCTCCTGACCTGGAATGTTCCTGAGACTTTCAATATGTGAAACAGTAAGAAAATTAAAATGAATTAAATTAAAATATAAAGAAACTTCTCTTTACTGAAGATCTGCTACTGATGTAAGAAATTCAAACTGTAAGTCCTTTGTCGTAATAAGCCCTGGGCTTTCGTTACTGAATGAACAGGTGCCAAATCACTGCTGTAGCATAAGCCAGTGTTCCTCAGAGTGTAGGTTAATGCGTCACCTGTATCAGAACGTGAGCATGTTAGACTGTCTAGGCCCCACAACACACTCTCTGAATCAGAATATTCCAGAGAAGAACATGGGAGCCTGCATTTTTTTGTAAGCACCCAAGGAAATTCATGGCTTGTTAAATCTGGGGGAGCACCATTTAAATATATCATCCTCATTGGGCCGTGCTGCAACCTGGACACACTTATATTCTTTTGTCTCTAGGTATTGGCCAGGGTATTTGAAAAAACAAAAACTATCAAGTATATATCAAGCAAAATATTCTATAACATTCTCAGGCACACTTACTGTCTCAGAACTCCCAGAGCAAGTTATTCAAATATCTATTTTAAAATATTTCATGTAGTGTTGTAATTATTCTTTTGTACTGTTTGTGCCACTAGATTGTGATCACAGGAAGAAGAGGACATGCATCGTGCCCATCTCTGTGACTCCAAACCCTAACAGAGCAGGGGCATAAAGAGGGTATACAGAAAGTATGTTTTGAGTGGATTATTTACAAAAATGAATTTAATCAAGTTGAAGAAACCTGGTATTTGGGGATGTTCTCAACCCTCTCAAGTATACTGTAATTTTCTGACACCTTAAAAAAAATCACCACCTGGATTGTACTACAAGAAATTTAGATTCAGTTCATCTTGACTGGGGTCTGGGGATAAGTATTTTGTCAAGTTTCCCAGATGATACAGGAATATACAGCGAGAGTTGAGAACCAGTGGGCTAGACAGAAGAATCCTGTGGTGGGCAGAATAATGAGTCTCCAGAGATTTCCATGTCCAATCCCCAGAATTTGTGATTTTAAGGTTATGGACCTTAAAATAGGAAGATTATCTTAGATTATCACGAATTTTTCTGGTAGGCCTAAACTAAGCAGTTCAAAGTAGAAGAGGAAGGCTGAAGGAGATGCAGCAGGAGAAAAAAGCAGAAGAGACACAGTGACAGAAGGAGTTGCTGCACTGCTGCTGGCTAAGCGACATGGGAGCCCATGTGCAAGACCAGAAAGAGACCTCTAGGAGGTAAAGGTGGCCCTCAAGCTAACAGGCAGCAAGGAAATGGAGATCTCAAGGAATTGAATTTTGCCAACAGTTTGAATGAGTCCAGAAGCAGATTCTCACCAGAACCTTCAGAAGAGAGCACAGCTCTACCAACACCTTGACTTTTGCCTGATGAGACCCAGAACAGAGAAAGTAGCCAAGCCCATAGGACTTCTCATGTATAGAACTGTGAGATGATAACAGTATGTTGTTTTAA